AGCGCTTCAGCCAGGAAAGCAATCACTCGTGAGTAGTGAGCTGTCTGGGGGCTAAAGAGTTCTCACCTATGCCCACCTCCTCCCTGGGGGTAGTCCATCAACCTTCCAATGTATTAGCAGCACAGGTCTCTCGGGCATCCTGAAGTGCTGCGTGATTATCCTCCCTTGATTAATGAATGTCCATTTAGTTGTATTTCAAAGGAGGAGAGACAAAGGGAATTGCTCACTCCACCATGTTGCTGACATCACTCCTTCAGTGTTTTTTAAGGCTGGTTTTTCTTGTTCTTTTTTTTTTTTGAGGAAGATTAGCCCTGAGCTAACATCTACCACCAATCCTCCTCTTTTTGCTGAGGAACATTGGCCCTGACCTAACATCTGTGCCCATCTTCCTCCACTTTATATGTGAGATGCCTGCCACAGCATGGCTTGGTAAACAGTGTGTAGGTCCGCACCCAGGATCCAAATCAGCAAATTGGGCCACCGAAGCGGAACATGTGAACTTAGCCACTACACCACCAGGCCGGCCCCTCAGTGTTTTTTAAAAATAACACATGTATGTATGTATTTTAACTGGTGATTTATTTGGATTAAGATTTCCATTTTAGAGTCTGAATTATCAGTAATATAGGAAGACAGAAGAGAAACCAGTATGAAAGGTCAAGAGACAGTGAAAGTCCAAGATTTGAATGAGGTAAGAAATAAAAAGATATTTTCAGTTATGTTTTCCAATACAGGTGAAGCAAAGGCCATAAGGATGTTTAAGAATTACTAAAAATAGGCAAAAGGAAAAAAATACACTCCCAGGAAGGTTAAATCTACATCCTGTGATTGTGATCAGCGGTCACACAAAGCCTTCCAGGAGAAGTCAGTCAGCAGGGAGACCATTAAAAATGGATTTAGGATAAACCACTGTGTTGAAAGCATAAGGGTGATTTAAAGGTATTGTCTGACGAAAGAATAAATGTGAACATTCAGAGCAATCCAATGATATAAACTGCCATTTACAGATATTTTCTATACTCGAGGTGCCCATATGTACCTAGGCATTATTATCCCTCTTTTTCAGATGAGGAAACTGAGGCCGATAAAAGTTGCATAACTGGCTCAGGGTCCCACTGTTGGTAAATTAGTAGGACAGGACTGGTAGGACTTGTTTCTGATATATCATTCTATGGTTCCCAGATTTGAGAGTATAGACGTGTCACTCTTGTGCTCCTCCCTGAATGGCTGATCCGCATATGCAGTTAGTTCACTAGGCAGGTTTGCTCTGCCAACGGAGAAGGGTCTGAGCTTGATGGCAGTATTAAGGAAATTGACTCAATTCTCACTCTGTAGTCACTAAACTACACTTTGACCTCAGTTTAATTTCCTAATAGGTTTTTGTACACAAGACCAAACACACTTTGGCAAGTCTGAATAGAGTAGATATTAAAATAAGGGTTAGACGACTCCTCTGGAGAGTTTATTAAACTAAGCACTAGATGGCTTCGCTGGTGAATTCTATCAAACATTCAAAGAAGAATTAATACCAGTCCTTCTCAAACTCTTCCAAAAATAGAAGAGGAGGGAACACTTCCAAACTCATTCTACAAAGCCAGCATTACCCTGATGCCAAAACCAGGCAATACATCAGAAGAAAATTACAGGCCAATTTCCGTAATAAACATAGATGCAAAAATCCTCAACAAAATATTGCAAACCAAATTCAACAGTACATTAAAAAGGATCATACACCATAATCAAGTGAATTTATTCCAGAGATGCCGGAATGGTTCAACATCCTCAAATCAATCAATGTGATACACCACATTAACAAAATGAAGGATAAAAATCATATGATCATCTCAATAGATGCAGAAAAAGCATTTGACAAAATTCAACATCCATTTATGATAAAACTCTCAACCATAAAAGCCATATATACAAGCCCACAGCTAACATCATAGTCAATGGTGAAAAGCTGAAATCTTTTCCTCTAAGATCAGGAACAAGACAAGGATGCCCACTCTTGCCACTCTGATTCAACATAGTATTGGGAGTCCTAGCTGAGCAATTAGGCAAGAAAAAAATAAATAAATAAAAGACATCCAAATTGGAAAGGAAGAAGGAAAACTGTCACTATTTGCAGATGACACAATATTAGATATAGAAAACGCTAAAGACTCCAGCAAAAAATTGTACAAATTCGGTAAACAAATTCAGTAAAGTTGCAGGATACAAAATCAATATACAAAAATCTGTTGCATTTCTATATACTAGCAATGAACTATCAAAAAGAGAAATTAAGGGGGCTGGCCCCGTGGCCGAGTGGTTAAGTTCGCGCGCTCCGCTGCAGGCGGCCCAGTGTTTCGTTGGTTCGAATCCTGGGTGCGGACATGGCACTGCTGATCAAACCACGGTGAGGCAGCGTCCCACATGCCACAACTAGAAGGACCCACAACAAAGAATATACAACTATGTACTGGGGGGCTTTGGGGAGAAAAAGGAAAAAAATAAAATCTTTTTTTAAAAAAAAAAGAGAAATTAAGAGAACAATCTCATTTACAATTGAATCAAAAAGAATAAAATCCTAGGAATAAATTTAACCAAGGAGATGAAAGACCTGTACACTGAAAACTATGACATTAATGATAGAAATTGAAGAAGACACAAATAAATGGAAAGATATTCCATGCTCACGAATTGGAAGAATTAATACTGCTAAAATGTTCATACTACACAAAGCAATCTACAGATTCAATGCAATCCCTATCAAAATTCCAATGGCATTTTTCACAGAAATAGAACCATCCTAAAGTGTGTATGGGACCACAAAAGACCTGAATAGCCAAAGCAATCTTGAGAAAGAAGAACAAAGCTGGAGGCATCATACTTCCTGATTTCAAACTATATTACAAAACTATAGTAATCAGTATGATATTGGCATAAAAACAGACATCAATGGAATAGCATAGAGAGCCCAGAAATAAACCCACACATATATGGTTAATTAATTTATGGCAAAGGAACCAAGAATACACAATGGGGAATGGACAGTCTCTTCAGTAAATGATGTTGGGACAACTGGACAGCTGCATGCAAAAGAATGATACTCAACCACTATCTTACAACATAAAAAAAAAATCAACTGAAAATTGTTTAAAGACTTGAATGTAAGACCTAAAACTGTAAAACCTCTAGAAGAAAACATGAGCAGTATACTCCTTAACGTCTATCTTGGTGTTGACTTTTTTGATCTGACATCAAAAATAAACAAGTGGGACTACATCAAACCAAAAAGCTTCTGCACAGCAAAGAAAACCATCAATAAAATGAAAAGGCAACCTACTGGATGTGAGAAAATATTTGCAAATCATATATCTGATAAGGGGTTAATATTCAAAATATATAAAGAATTCATACAACTCAATAGCAAAAAAACAATCTGATTAGAAAATGGGCAGAGGATCTGAGTAGACATTTTTCCCAAGAAAACATACAGATGGCCAACAGGTACATGAAAAGGTGCTCAACATCTCTAACCTTCAGAGAAATGCAAACATAAACCACAATGAGATATCACCTCACACCTGTTATAATGTCTGTTATCAAAAAGACAAGAAATAACAGCTGTTGGCGAGGATGTGGAGAAAGGGGAACCCTTATGAACTGTTGGTGGAAATGTAAATTGGTGCAGCCACTATGGAAAACAGTATGGAGGTTCCTCAAAAAATTAAAAATAGAACTACCATGTGATCCAGCAATTCTACTTTTGGGTATTTATCCAAAGGAAATGAAAACACTAATTCTAAAAGATATACGCACCGCTATGTTCATTGCAGCATTATTTACAATAGCCAAAATGTGGAAACAACCTAAATGTCCATTGATGGATGAATGGATAAAGAAAAAGTGGTATACATACACAATGGGATATTATACCGCTATAAAAAAGAACGAAAACTTGCCATTTGTGACACCATGGATGGACCTTGAGGGCATTATGCTAAGTGAAATAAGTCAGACAGAAAGTCATAAATACCATATGATCTCACTTATATGTGGAATCTATTTTAAAAAATAACAACAAAAAAATGGGCTTATGGAGGTAGAGAACAGATTAGTGGTTGTCTGAAGCAGAGTTGGGGTTGGGAAAAATGGGTGAAGGGGGTCAAAAGGCACAAATTTCCAGTTATAACATGAATAAGTCATGGGGATGTAGTGTATGGCACAGTTAATAATACTGTATTTCTATATTTGAAAGTAGCTAGGAGAGAGGATCTTGAAAGTTCTTACCACAAGGAAAAAAAATTGTAACTACGTATAGTGACAGATGTTAACTGTACTATTGTGGTGACCATTTTGCAAAATATACAAATATCAAGTCATTATGTTGTACACCTGAAAATAACATAATGTTACGTGTCAATTATGCCTCAAAAGTAAGGGCCTATAAGTTAGAGTTGGTTTGAATCCCAGTGCTGACTGTGTGACCTTGGGCACATTACCTAATATATCCGAGCCTCACCCTCATCTCTGTAGAAAGAAGGTAATAATAGTTCCAATCTCATAGGGGTTCTGAGAAAACAACATGAGATAATGCGTGTAAAGCATTTACCATACTGTCTAACATATGGTAAGCACTAAATAAATAGTAGCTTGCTATTATTATTTTTTCATTTATTATTATTATCAATTGATTTGGTAAGATTTCAACAATACCTTATATTTAGTAGGTGCTTAAAATTTACAAAATACTTTCAAAATTAGATTTTAATCCTGCTGTAATGACTATAATGTATGTAGGACAAGTATTAGCTCCATTTTACAGTTGAGAAAACAGGCTTAGAGAGGAAAAAAACTGCATCTTGTGAGCTATGGTACCGTAAACTAGTTTTCCCAGCTTCGTGTCTCCCCTAGATGACTTTATAACTGTATTAGGCAGAGAATGTTTATTATCAGAATTTGTAGGAAACGTTATTATTGTATATAGAATTAATTGTGTAAAATACTTTTTGCAGATATTGAAAATGAGCCAAGAAAAAATTGAAATATTTGAAAGTGAGTTGTCAGAAGAAGGAGAAAGGAGAAAGCAATTGACATCTGATCTTAATACTGTACAGAAGGCTTTGAAAGTTGACAGTGAGGTATTTTGCCATTCAGGGTATTATTTTCCTCTTTTTGCATTCCCAATTTAGGGATTCCGTGTTGTCGTTTATTTTTATTTTAACATAAATTGTAGCTATAGAATTAGTAATAATGGGGTGACTGTTGTCTCCCCACACTGAGTTCCAGCATTAGCCAAAAAGAGTCCTTGAAGTGGCAGGTTTTTGATTGTGATGGTGGTCATGGAGTCATAGACTTGTCTGTCGTTTTCACCACTTGTGCTACCATCTTGCAAAGGTGTGTCAGGAGACATAACCAGCCTACATCTGGAAGAGAGACCTGGAAGTGAGTTCATGGAAGTCTAGATCACCAATTTAGAGGACTTAATCAGCTTGCAGGGTGGGTGAAAGCCAGTGCAATGCCCCAAATCCCATCCTGATGACCTACAGGGATTTTCCATGAAATAAGGTAGGAAATTGACACCACCTGGCCTCTTCCTGTGGCTCTGGGTGGCCACTCCCTACCTTCTCTCCTTTTGCCCAATGCCTTCCTCATCAACATTCTCCTCCCTCTCTGATCTCAAGGCTTTGGGGATATACCAAGTAGCTCCTCTCCTAATGTAAATTTTATATCACCTGCTCCCTTCATAGGGCACCACAGACTGACTCTCAGGCCCCAGTGACCCACCAGTCAAACACTGCATATTCCATGTCATCAATGTAGAAATTTGATAAAAATCTACATCTAACTAAAGTGTTTCCTTTCATGGATATGAAAAAAATCAGGATTAGAGGAAACCCTAGTTGATTAAGTAATTAAATATACATTATTAAGTTAGGCAGCATAATTTGTAATTAAGAACACAGAGTTTGAAGTCAGACAGTTTGAATCTCAGCTTGACCACTTCCTGGCTATGCGAATTTAGGCAGATCACTTAAGTTCTCTGAGACTCAGTTTCAATAACTTACCTCATGGGGTTGTCACAAGATTAAAGGTAAACCACATCACATTGTTCTATAAAAGGTAACTTTAAAAAAGATACATTTTAAAACAGGTAGTATAACTAATGCAGGAGTTGCTGAAGAATTTAGCTCTCTACAAGGCTTCTGTAAAGTAGAAATGACTCCAGAAACCCAGTCTTTCAACCTGTAAATAATAGAAACTACAAATGCTTGGTTTAATTAATTGATTTGAGTAAACTTTGTTTTAACTACTAAGAAAAGAGTCTGTCAGCCAGAAGGATAGGTTGAAGTATTCAAAACAAAAAAATTATCAGAGTCATTCAGAGATTCCTGTTTAGAAATATTATACCTTTAATGGGGAAAGTCTTATTTTATTCTACTAAATATCTTCATTTCTTAATCAGGAATTACAAAAATCAAAATCAGAACTTATATGCCTTTATCATGAAATTCAAAGTCTTCCAGGGGCAGCAGAAGACAGAGACCATTTTTTAATAGCATATGACCTGCTACAAAGAGAGAATTCTGAATTAAAAACGAAGGTGAGGCTGAATTATTAAGTATTAAATGTTCAAGGCATGAATACCTTTTATGAAGACAAGATAAAAGGAAATTAATTTTCAGTAAGAGATGACTTGGAAATTGAAGTTTCTTTTACTGTTATAGAATAAATTGCCATATAGTGTGGGTTATAAGTCAAGCTGTATTTCAGGATACATATTCAGACTTCAGACTTTTAGGATTAATCTATGAATTTTTTATCTTAAATCAACTTCCCAACACCTTAGTTTTTGAAGCAGATATTATAATGTAAAAGGTTTACTTAAAATTACGTATGGTCCAGCAATTCCACTTCTGGGTATCTATCCAGAAGAATTGAAAGCAGGGTCTTGAAGAGAGATTTTTACACCCATGTTCATAGCAGCATTATCCACAATAGCTAAAATGTGGAACAACTCAAATGTCCATCGATGGATGAATGGATGAGCAAATCATGATGTATACATAGAATGGAGTATTATTCAACCTTAAAAAGGAAGGAAATGCTGCAATTTGCTAAACGGATGATTCAGCATATTGACGGATGGATGAACATATGTGAACCTTAAGGACATTATCCTAAGTGAAATAAGCCAATCACAAAAAGACAAATACTATATGATTCCACTTATTTGAGGTACTTAGAGTAGTCAAAATCATAAAGACGGAAAATATAATGGTGGTTGCCAGGGAGAGGGAAGAACGAATGGGGAGTTATTGTTTAGTAGGTGGAAAGTTTGTTTTACAGGATGAAAAGAGTGATGGGGATGGATGATGGTGATGCTTCACAACAATGTGAATATATTGAATACTGCCGGACTTACACTTAAAAATGGTCCAGATGGTTAATTTTATGTTATGTGTGTTTTACCGCAAGAAAAATACAAAAACAAGCGAAAGTTTACTTAAATGTCTTGAACTTTAAAACAGAATCAAAGCGTCTTTCTCAGTTATACTGAAAATTACAGTCATTCTTAGAATTAGGAAAATGTTTAAATGTCCTGATCCCAATTTGTTCTCCAGGTATAAAAATGGCTGCCGGACCAGAGTTGATCCAACACTAGATAGAGACCTTGCCTATAGTGTAATTTCTAGAGTCGCACCTATTAAGTTATCACCAACTCCTAGGTGAAGATTCCCTTCCTCAATTGCTCTCTTGATCCTGATTAAAATGGTAGGAAAGAGTGAAGGCTTGAACGCAGCACTTAAAATAAACTGGGTTATATTTTAATACCACATGTTAGGTGGAGGACTAAATCAAGGCCTGATTTATCCTGTATGACGTCGTTCCCCTGAAAGCAGGGAGCAAGGTGCTGAGGGACTGGGACATAGATCAAATAGCGTCTGCCTTAGGGAGAGAAATGTCCAGGACACAGAGTGTGCTGCCTGGGAGGGTAGATATGTAGGGCACAGCCTACATCTAAGCTTTGTTTGTGAGAGCTTGTCAGCAAGATGAGTTATCATCACACTATACGACTTGTCTTTTGAAATATCATGGGAAAATTTAACATCAAGGATGAACAGAGTGAGAAGAATGTAATATAAAAGCAAGAGATTCAGGGGCCAGCCACTGGCATAGTGGTTAAGTTTGTGCGTTCCACTTTGGTGGCCCAGGGTTCACAGGTTTGTAATCCTGGGTGCAGACCTACACATCGCTCATCAAGCCACGCTGTGACGGCATCCTACATACAAAATAGAGGAAGACTGACACAGATGTTAGCTCAGGGACAACCTTCCTCACCAAGAAAACCCCAAGAGATTCAGATCACTATCCTGGTAATCTGGCTTTCTTTGTCTCTCTTTTTAAAAACTTTTTATTTTGAGAGAATTTCAAACTTAAAGGTTGCAAAAATAGCACAAAGAATTCCCATATACTTTCACCCCTCCAAATGTTAACATAGTATCATTTATTTTATCATCCTCTCTCTCTCTCTGTGAGTGTGCACATGCGCGTGCACACACACACACACTTTCTTTTCTGAACCCTTTGAGAGTAAGTTGGAGACATAATACTCTTTTACCACTAAATATTTCCATGTATATTTGCTAAAATGACATCTCCTTATCACAGTACAAGTCTCAAAATCAAGAAATTAACATTAGCATAGTAGTGTTATCTAATCTGCAGCTCAAATTCAAGTTTTACCAATTGTTATACCATAGCAAAAGAAGAGCAATTTTTTTCTAGTCCAGAATCCAATTCAGGATCATACATTGCATTTAATTGTCACCTCCCTGTAGCTCCTTTAATCTGCATTAGTTCCTCAGCCTGTCTTTCTTGTTCATTAGTTTGATATTTTTGAAGAGCATAGACCATTTACTTTGAAGAATGCCCCTCAATTTGGATTTGTCTGATGTTTCTCCACAATAGAATTCAGGTTACCTATTTTTGGCAGGAATCCTACAGAAGCAATGTTGTGTCCTTCTCAGTGCATTATATTACGAGACACATGATATCCTTTTGTTCTGTTACTAGTGATGTTAACTTTGATCATTTGGTTAAGGTACTATCTGCCAGATTTCTCCACTGTAAAGTTATTATTGTTCCCTTTGCAATTGATAAATAACTTGTGGGAAGATACTTTGAGACTATATGTATTCTGTTTCCCATCAAACTATTACTCATTAAAAGTTTCTGTTTTGAATCTCTAATTCTTTAATTATATTCCAGTTTCTCTTCAGAACAGAGTGCTTTAAACCTAAACATAGTCTTGCTAAGAGTAGCTAAAAAATTGTATCTTGTATCTTATGTATTTGCTAAAGCCCCTGTTTTGTAGCTGTTGTTTTCTCTGGGTTACAATACCTAGATGCTTGGTAACAGAGTTCTAGAGCTCGAAGGGGTATGATCATGTAGGCCAGCTTCCTCAGGTAACAGATAAGAACACCAGGCTCAGGGATATTAAACAACTGCCAAGTTGCCTGGCGATTCTCAGCCTAAGCTCTGCCCTGCCTATGCTAGGGCCTCAAGCAAAAGTGCAACAATCAACTTAATATTTTAAGGTCCTTAAACATGGCCGATTATTAGCTTGAGCTATGTCACTACGATAACATTTTTATAGGGAAGAGCCTGAGGAGCAGAGTTGGTCCTGTTCCACAACATCTGTGTTGTAAATGTCCTGTGGATTTAACTTCCTTCCTGGCACAGAGCAAAGCCGCCCACTTAAGATGTACACCAGCTTTGTCACGTGAGAAGCCAGAAGACCTAGGAGATGCTTAGTCTTCATGTCAGCATCCTCTTCAGAAACCTTCAGCGGTTCTCAATTTGCTATAACATCAAGTCTAAATTCTGTTTGGCTTTCTTTACTTCTTAAGAAACTAACATTTATTATCTGTAATGTTTAAATTTTTACAATGACCATAAAAATCAGCAATTAAGTAACATTTTGGAATCTGTTGTCCTGCTTAGAAAAGTAATACAAGCTCATTAAGAAAATTCTTGTCTTTCAAGTCCCTTCATAATCTGACCCCTCCCCTCAATCTTGCCTTGTTTCCTCAGCTCCTCATCTTGTAGCCTCTACTCCAGAAAGACCATCCTCCTCACTTCTGCACAAATACTCTGGACTCAGGTCCACAGTAGTGCCTTTGACAATATTGCTCAGGCTTAAAATGTGCTGTAATCTCTTCTTCACCTGTCCACATCTTCCCACTCCCTAAGGCCCAGTTCAAGACTAACCTTCTCCCCTGGAGAGGTTATAGTGTGTAAAAGATTAAATGGATTTATGAGATTATAATCCGTATCACACCCTGTAGTTTCTCTTCAGAGAATTGTGAAGGCCTAGGAAACCAAACAAAGGGATCTCTTAAAGTGACTTAAATTGATCTTTAGAGTTAAATCCATTGTGGTGTTAGAATCAAACATAGTAACCACAGAAACTGCCTTTTCAGAGGCTCAGAATGGGAGTCAGACAGGTTGTCGCCTATCTTAGTGCAAAACTTTGATGGGTATCCATCTTCCATTCTTAGAACTATCCCCCACCCACCCTTTCTTCTGCCTTCTGGAGGTGTTTCTTCATTTTATGTGAAGATACAAAGAGCACACTTTGAGGAAAGGAATCTGTTGGTCCAAAAAATACCCAGAACGAATGTTTTACTAAGTCGCACGACAGAGCAGCAACTCTCAAAGCGTCCACTTGCATCAGAATTACCTGGGAGACTTGTTTAAAGCGAGAAGCTCCAATTCCCAGCCCAGACCCCTGGCTCTGAATCTCAGGGGTCGGGAGGGGATGTGAGACTGCATTTTTGAACTCCTCAGTTGATGCCATTTTACATTAAAGTTTGAGAATCACAGTGATAGTCTGGTTCAGGTGTCTCCAAACAAGTAGAATCAGACTGGAAGATATTTGTTCTCTGTAACGTATATCTAATATTCTGTTTAATGTTTTCATGAGCAATGTGTAGCTTTTATGAACCAATAAAGTACACTGGAAATTTGAATACGAAAATGTGTGATCATAATGTGAAACTCTATAGACCTCATCTTCGGCTTGTTAAAAGGTAGAACAAAACCCTAAATGGCGCTTTTAGAACACAAGCCCAGAGGCCAAAAAATACTCTTTTTTAAAACCAAGAACTTACACACCCTTATGCCTATGGTAAAAATGGATTAAATTGTGTAATAACTGCAAAGTATTAACCTGGAAAAAGACTTCAATTTGGATGTCAATTTATATTATTTAAGCCAATCGTGATTGAAGCATTTAATAGAATCAATACACTTTTGTCGCATCATTCATAAGAGTATGCAAAATGGAATATTTGTCTTTTCACTTAACTTTACAGGTCTTGAGGCTGTCACAAGAGTTCGAACAGTTAAATCATTTTACTGTAGGGAGAAAGACTCCAGCTGATAATTTAATTACAAGTGAAAATATCTGTAAAGATCTTGTGTCTCACATACCAATTTTGGAAGTAGAGATTCAAAGCCCAAAGGAAGAGAAAGTGGAACTCTGGTAAATTGAGAAAATTCATGTCACATTAATTATTTGGGGGGTACATTTTATTTGGCTTGATCATTATAAGTATTTGACATTCATTTCCAAATGATGTGCGTGGAAAAATTAGTTATAAGCATTCCCCAAAGAGTTTGTCTTTTGATATGTTATATTTTTAACTGTTTTTCTTGCGTTTAAAGATAAATATATGCACCTTTTCTTTTTGTTGAGGAAGATTAGCCCTGAGCTAACATCTGCCACCAATCTTCCTCTTTTGCTGAGGAAGACTGGCCCTGAGCTAACATCCGTGCCCATCTTCCTCTACCGTATATGTGGGACACCTGCCAGAGCATGGCTTGACAAGTGGTGCATAGGTCCATGCCTGGGATCTGAACCAGCAAACCCCAGGCCACCAAAGCGAAACGTGTGAACTTAACCACTGCACCACCAGGCCAGCCCCAATAAATACATGCTTTTTATAGAAAATTTGGAAAGCAGGGAAAAGTATAAGGAGATTATGGTAACCCATAATTTCTACCAGGAAGAGATGTTAACATCCTAATTTTTCTTTTTTGTCTTTTATCTGTACACATACATATATATGGGTTGTTTTTTTTTTTTTTTTTACATAATTAAGACTATACTCTTCAGAGAGTTGTGTTTTTTGCTGTTTTTATTTAACATTGTATCTTATAATTGTTTTGAGGACGTTTTTCTTTCTTCCTTGTTTCTTAATCTTGCCCTCTAACTCTTGTATTTCTACTTTTTTTCACCAAAAGTATCTTTCACAGAAACTTTTGAGGCTTGGGCAAATGCATTACTCTGTTTTGGCACAAAAACAAATGCAATAAAATTTTGTCTGGGCAAAAGCCCAGAACTAGACCATCGAAAGGAAACAATAGATATCAATTTTGACTTATCTACCTTACTAAAGGATAATCATCAATGAACTGGGAAAATATGGTCTTGGTGTAGTCATATTTATGTCTTTGCAAATCTTCTACAATAGAAGGAGATTGTTTTTCCGCTTTGGGGCCCCTGAATTTATGCCTACTTAAAAATTGCTTTTACCTTTAGAGTGGGCTCTGAGTCCAAGATTCACACTCATGAAACCCAGTTGCAGAAGTGGGAAGAGCATATTGGAGAGACTGTGGGGAGCAGGTGTGATAGTGGTCGGAAGACCAGAGAGCCGAGAAGCTGGGTCACAGCATCTAGGTTTGCTGTAGGGAAAGAAGAAAGTCTGGTTCTTGAGCACTGGAACAGTGTATTACAGGATTTCTGAGGGAGATTGTTCTAGTATCTCTATATTAGATGAATTGGAGAGGAAAGACAGACCAAGTAATCCAGATATAAGCCACTGATGAAGAGATAGGGGCCTAGATTGACTAAGAGGCAATGGAGAGGAAATGGCCAATCTGAATGCTTTTCAGAGAAGGAGTTGACATTAACGATCAAAGCTGACAAAAATCCACCCAGTTGATTTGGGATAACTGGCAGGAATACTTGCCACAGGGAGCAAGGCTGTGGCCTTAATTCATTTGGAGGTGGGGGACGTTGCCATGAAAAAGATACTGGGCTTCTCTATAAAGAGCTTCTTGCTGTCACCCGTTTCCACAACTTGGTCCAAACTGCTTCCCATCCCTGGGACTGTGAGAAGTCTATATATCTTCCTATGCTTCCCTTTCTCCTCTTCTCGTAATGTTCCCCTGCTTGCTTTTCTCCTGTGCCCCACTTCACAGACTCCACTTATCTCAGAGCCATCACACAATCACATTCAATAATAAATTGAGTATCTACCGTGTGCCAGGTACTGTAGGTAGATACTGGGAATACAAAATAAGACGCAGTTCCTACCCATATGGTACATAAAGCCTGATGGGGGAAGTCAGACAGTTAAACAAGGGAATATTGGATACTAGAGGAGAACAAAGGAGGGGCCCCAGCTCAGGCTATAAACCAGAAAATATTCTTAAAGGAAATGGCAAACTGAGCCCTGAAGTATGAGTAATCAAGAACCAAGCAAAGAGATGGGAGAGTAATATTCAGGGGGATAGGACATGTGCAAGGGAAAGCATGATTTGTTTGAGGACCTAAAAGTGACCTCAGTGCTGCTATATAGCATAGAATGTGAAGAGAGGAAATGGGGAAGGAGATGATGAGAATGAAGAGGTAGTCAGGGAGTCCATCATGAAGGAACACGAATGCCTCCATTAGGGAGTTTGACAGTAGGAAACTACTGCAGGGGTTAGTAACATAGGAGAGACAAAAACAGATTTGTGCTTTAGAAAAATCACTCTGCTTGCTTGTGTGAAATTGATTGTGGGTACAAGAACTAGGATAGCAAGACCAGTTAGGAGGCTGTTATTGTAATCTAGGTGAGAGATGATGGTGTTTGTGGGGATGGAGAAAAGGGAATGGAATTGAGAGGAGGTAGGATGAACAGGACTTAGGGATTGATGAATATAGGAAGCAAGGAAGAAGGTAAGGTAGGTAGAGGCTTGAGTATAGGAACAAGCTAAGGAAGACTTCTAAGTTTCTGATTTGATGGTGTCATTCACTGAGTTAAGGAACATAGTTTTGAGGGAGGAGAGAACATATTGACATGTCTTTGGAACAGTCATGTGGGGATGTTCAACAAACAAGTGGATTTATGGGTTTGGAGCTCAGGAGAGAGTCCTGGGCTGGAGAGAAATTTGAGAATCATCAATAAGTAAATGGTCGCAAAAGTCATGTGATAGTTGAAATGGTCCCATATGTTGCTTAATAAAAGCACCTGAAGGCAGAAACCTAAGGAAAACCTCTCTATAAGAGACAAAAAGAGTACCCCCAAAGGTAACTGAGACAAAAGAGCCAGAGAAATAAAGTCAGGAAAGTGTGTGTCACAGAAGCCAGATTAGAGAGTATTTCAAGAAGGAAGGAATAGTCGATAGTGTCATATACTGTCAAGAATTCAAATAAAATAAGGGGAAAAAAGTGACTACTAAATTTAACAATAAGAAGGTGATTGAGGACTTTAATAAGAGTACTTCCAATGAAGGACAGAAAACATTGCTTTCCAGATCCCATCTCCTGGGATGGTGAATGGGAGTGAACTAAGGAGGGCATAGGGGATGAGGAAGTGAAAATGCAGAGTGTAGATAATGCTTTCCAAAAGTTTTGGTTGTGAAGGGGAGAAGAGAATATAGAGCTGAGGTAAGGGGAAATTTGTGTACGCTTAAATGTTGGTGGGAAAGAGTCTCCAGGTGGACCGGTTAGGATTCAGAACACCAGGAGATGGACTAGCCTTGGTCAGGAGGTAGGCCGCCTTGTCCATCGTAGCAGGAGGAAGAATGGGAAGATCAACAGAGATCCAAGTGAGTTTTTGACTTGAGAGGGACTCAGAGGACTTATTCAAGTATTTCTGTGTCCTCTGTGAAGTAGGAAGCAAAGCCACCTGAGGAAAGTGAGAGAGGAATAGAACCATTAGAGTTTATCACAGTGTGAAAAAAGTTTGAAATAACCACTGTGCAGAATGGAAAAGAAAGCTGACTGTGCAGAGCAGGTAGTGTTGAGGCCCAGTTATGGCCAGAAACCCTGAATTTGTATGGCATCTGTCTTTGGGAGTATATGACATTCTTTAGCAACATTTAGTATAGGCATGAGAAGACAGCTGGATTTATCCAGAATTGAGGTTTTGCTGCCTGAGTGCAGTGGAAGGACAATGGGGCAAGAGAGTTGAACATTTTATTTAGACAGTGATTAAAATAATGAACTCTAGACTCCACATTGGACAATGAAGCAAGTAAAGGGAGCTGACAGAAAAAGAGACTAGGAATTGAAGGTACTTATGATTGCACTGAGAACAAATTATGTAAAAAGAAAAAGCTGGAATCTGGATATCCAATTTTAGTATTTCAGAAGTGAAGCAGTTACTGATGATATAACCCATAGTGATGTTATACAAGTAGTTGGCAAAGTGGGAGAGACGAGAAGGTAATTGGAAATAAGGAGACTGAGGAAGTGAGATGTCAAGTTGGTGGGTGATCTCTATGGACCTTGGATTCTTCCAGGATGATGGCAGGACTTGAGGTGAAGAAGACGCCAGAGAGCCATGAGCCAAAATCTTCAATTGAAGAGAAGTAGAGAGTGTTACAGCACGCCTAGCATGGTCCCATGCACATAGAAGCTGCTCAGTAAGCCAAATTGATTGATTCTTGTAGTACATCTCTTCTACTAGATTTTAAGCTACTTTAAGATAATGGACTATGTCTTGTTCTTCTGTTGTTTATAGTGCTTTTGTTATAGAGTAATGGAATCTTAGAATAGGAGGGACCTGCAGGAGATCTTCTAACCGTGGTTTTCAAACTTCTACCTTCCAAAACTTTAGGAGCTCTATAGAAGGGGCTCAGAAACGACCTTGGGAGATGAAGAGAGACTGATGAGTGAGACCATGAGCCCTCCGCTCCCATATCAGCCGGAGAAGATCCACTTTATCTGTTTCATATGTGGAGTTCTATGTAAGATTTTACTTCAAGAAAGGGTCCACAGCTAAAATAAGTTTGAAAACCACTGGTATTTAGCTAAGTCTTCTCTTTTCACAGAAGAGGGCTCTGAGACCAAGAGAACTGAGATGACTATTTCAGTCACAGTCACATACTTAGCAAGTTATTAGCAGGACTACGTGAGGTCCCAAATCTCCTAACTCTGAGTCAGGAGAAGTTACCACTTCATCTGCTTTGGAGAGAACATCGTCACAAATATCCCAAGGACAAGAAGGTGCTGGGACACTTGTTTTTTAGGTCAATGAGCTTTATGGTGTTAAAAAATTGCTCAGGACTGACTTAGTCTCTGTATGTGCACAACACGGGAGAGGGATAGGAGGAAGAGTGAAGCCTAGTCCATCTTGTTCTGGACTGTCTCCAGTGTCGAGAACAATGCCTGACACATAGGAGGTACTCAAAAAATATTTGAATGAATGAAATTTTTGCCCTACTCCCATTATGTACTTTCAGCTGAACCCCAAGTTGTACTTCCAATAGCAGCCCCAAGCTTCCAGAGCCCAGCTGATCTCAGCCTGGGTTTGCTTCATTAGGAAGCTTGAGCCAGAACAGCTGGTAGCTTCTTCTTGCCCTTAATGCCTAATGAGCTTTATTTTTTCTAACACACTCTCATTCACCGTCCCATTGTATCCTTACTACCTTTATCAAGAATTTTTTGATATATGTTCAAGTTGATTTTCATTTCCAGTTCAACTTGACAGTGAATTTAGATCCATTTCACAGACTGATGTATTTTTCCTTTTTCTCCAAATTATTCCTTCTTCAGTCCAATCCATTCAGTGAATAGTCCCTCCATTTACACAGTTGATCAAGCCAAAAACTAGGAGTCACCATTGGTTCCTCCCCACCTCTAACCCATCAACAAATCCTATCAGTTCTACCATGAAAATATAAAATATTTAATCTACCTATTTCCATCTATATCTCCACTGCTACTACTCTACTCCATGGCACTAGTATTGCTCACTCGGACCTATCACAATACCTTCCTAACTGGCTTCTCTGCTTCCATACCTCTTTCCCAATCCATTCTCCAGGGAGCAACCAAAATGGTCTTTTAAGAATGCAAATTGAATAATAACACTCCCTCTCTTAAAAACCTCTCAATGGCTTCCCATTGCACTTAAAATAAAATCTAAACCCTGACCATGACCAATAAGGCCCTCTGAGATTTGGCCTCTGCCTACCTCTCCAATTCCATCATTGTGCCATTCCCCACCTTGTTCATCATGCAGACTTTCAGATCCTCTGCTTCCCTCCTGCTTTGCCTGCTCCTTAACCCTTGGCCCTATTCTATTCTAATTCTAACTAGTCTATTCTCCATTTGTATAAGTTTTTCATTTCAAGAATGTTATATAAATGTAACCATGCAATATGTAATCTTTTGAGGTTGGCTTTTTTCACTCAAGCTAATTCTCTAGAGCTCTTCTAGGTTATTGTGTGTATCAGTAGTTGGATCCTTTTGATTGCTGAGTGGTGTTCTCTCTGTTGTTTGGATTGGGTAATTTCTATTGTTCTGTCTTCAAGTTCACTGATTCTTTTCTCTGTCCCCTCTATTCCACTGTTGATTCCATCCATTGAGTTTTTCAATTTTGGTTATTGAATTTTTCAGTTCAAAAATTTCCATTTGGTTCTTCCTTAAATATTCTATTTCTTTGCTGAGACTTTCTAGTTCTTTTCTATTTTTTTTCTTTTCTTTTCTTCTTCTTTTCCCCAAAGCTCCCCAGTACATAGTTGTATATTCTAGTTGTAGGTCCTTCTGGTTGTGCTATGTGGGACACCACCTCAGCATGGCTTGATGAGTGATGCCATGTCCGTGCCCAGGATCTGAACTGGTGAAACCCTGGGCCACTGAAGCAGAGCACGCAAACCCAACCGCTCGGCCATAGGGCTGGCTCCTCTAGTTCTTTTCTGAGACTATTTTTTCATTTGTTTCAAGTGTGTTCATAGTTACTCATTGAAGCATTTTTACAATGGCTGATTTAAAATCTTTTCCAGATAATTCTTGATTTTCTCATCTATTGTTGCCTTTTCTCATTCATGTTGAGATTCCTTTGGTTCTTGGTATGATGAGTAATTTTAGATTAAAAATGAATATTTTGGGTATTATGTTATGAGGCTGTAGATCTTATTTAAACCTCCTGTTTATATGGCTTCTTCTGACACCAATCTGGCAGTGGAAGCTGGTGCTCTCTCATTACCACCCCAGGTTGGGTAGAAGTCCAGGTTCCCCACTCAGTCTCCATGGACACCCAAGGAAAGAAGGGCTCCTCATTACTGCCAATGAGGATGGGAGTTCCTACTCCCCACTAGGCCTCTGCTTATACTGTTCTGACTGTGAGGGGGAAGAATGCCTTGTTATTGCTCCCCCCTTTGCCCCCGTGATATCATGAGGAGGATGGGCATGGGTGGTCTTGTTACACTGGGTGGTGGTGAAAGTCTTGACTCTCCATAGGCCTCCTCAGACATCACCCCAGTGGAAAGGGACAAGGATGCCTCCTTACTGCCAGGTAGGAATGAAAGTCCAGACTCCCCATATCTGTTACTGCCTGGCAGGGATGAAAGTCCCTGCTCCCTATTGGCCTCTGACACCACCCTAGTGGGGAATTTTGGGTGTCTCATTATAGCCTGGTGAAGGTGGAAGTATAGGCTCCCAGCTTGACCTTTGCTGACATGGGTGGGGATGGGGACCACAGTTTTTTCTGTGGTGTTTGACTGGAGTAAAGTGAGTATTGTCCAAAAGGTTTTTTCTTGCTTGGCTTTCCATTTCCTGGTCTTCTATCTAGTGAGAACAGGCTTTCGTCTGTGCTTCTTGGTGTTGTCTGGGTTGCCAGCTTCTTCAGCTCCAAGTCCTGGATATATGAGGCCAAAAGAAAACCCAGGACACTCAGCCATGTCATTCCTCAGGTCTGGAGTTTCCTAACTGGTCTAACTTCTTTCCACCTTTCAGAGTCTTCTTATGTTTGTTTTATATATAACGCCCAGGGTTTTTAGTTGCACTTGGTGGGAGAAATAGGGAAAAGTATGTCTAGTCCATCTTCCTAGAAGCAGTTTTTCCATTTTTAAAAATATAACATAAATGTTTGCATTTTCCCAGTCTTCAAGTGTATCTAGCTTTCATTGGATTAGGAAAAGGAAAAGGGTTTATGGAGGATAGAAAAAAATCATTGTTATTTTATCAGAAATTTATTTTTAAGACATTTCACTCTATCTCCTATTGTTGTGAATCATTTGAATATATCATCTTTAAAAGACTGCTGAGTTCAAAATAAAATATTTAATTCTTTTTATATACAGTGTTAAAGGAATTTTAAAAGGAAAAAAACTTCCCTAGACACAATTTTTCCCCTGTTCCCTTCTGGTTTATATATATATATTTTTTCTATAGTATGTATTATGTTTATATACCTATACATACATATATATTGTTTATTGTTCCACCATTTTACTTTAATAGGTATTTTTCATGTTGATGAATAGTCTCTATACCACTTTCAGGTTGATTTAACTTTAATCCTCTTAGCCATTTCCATGTCTCCATTTAGTCACTGTTTTAAATAGCATGGTTATGAGCATTATTATACATTCAGCTTTTTTCTTCTTCTGAGTTATTTTATGGCAGTAGGTTCATTGGTATGCAATTATTCAGTCTGAAAGGATCTGAACATTTTTATGGCTCTTGATCTGTATTGCCAAATTGCTTTCTTGAAGAATTTGAGCACCAACTATAATTTGTGAAGCATGCTGTGCTAGGCTCTGAGGTACCTGAAACAAGATTAAGGGAGTAAAAACAAAATTGGCATGTTTGTGTTCACTCTACTTTCCATCCACACTCTCCAACATGCCGTCGAAGGTGCATTCCTCTGCTTGATGTACGTGGCTCATATGGTTTTCCTCCTTCCTCTCTGGCTTCTCAGCCTCCTCTTCATGCTCCCATTCCCCTGATTGTTTTCCTTACAAGTCTTTAGGCTCCTGTCTAGAATGATCTTCCTCCTCTCACTTTCCCCCTTCTCCCTGGCTCATCTCATCCAATCCCAAAGTTTCTGCTCACGTCCTTCTGTACCTGGCTCTTCGCCGCTGGCATCTCTCCAGTCTACGTCCACATTCCCGCTTCTTGATCTACCATCCACATTCCCGTTTGCCCCAGTCAGAAATCCAGGTGTCATCCATTATTCCTTTTTCTCTCTCACCTACCACATCCAATAAGTGACAAATCTTATCAATATTGTCTTTTAAAAATCTCTAGAATCCTTTGCTTCTGTCCGTTCCCACCATCCTATTCTAGTCACTGTTATTTATTTCGTGGGTCACTACAGCAGTCCCTCAACTGCTTTCGCTACCACACGGCATCCAAATGACCTTTCTAACGCGCGTTCTCTCTCTTACCTCTGGGCTGTTACCTCTCTTGTTTACTAAGTCATCTGGCAACACCTTTATTTTTCCCTGTTCTCATCTATCCAACACCCCCCCAACATACATACACATGAGCAAGTGTGCACATAACTCCACCTTTACATTTCCCCAGCTGCGCCTGCTCATCCATCAGGCCTCAGATTACTTACTGCTTACTACGTACTACTACTTAAGTACAGGTTTACTTACTACTAGATTACTAATCACTTGTTTACTTACTCTTATTTCTCCTTAAATTGTAAGCTCCTTAGGGCAGGAATTATATCCTGTCGTAGCCCTAGTGCCTCCCAAAGTGCCTGGAGCTTATTGAACTACTATTTTTTTTAATCTTTATAAGCTGTGTCTGCCCAATGCTATACTAAAAGTTGAAAAACTCACTTAAACTGGTTGTTCGGGTGTCAACAAAAATCCGTGAGGGGTCATCTTCCTGAATGTGAGAGAAAAATATGACTCATTTGTTTTAAAAGTTTACTTATAAGAATAAGCTAATCGCTCTGCTGTAGCGTTCAAGTTGAAAATCTTATTTGCAGCACTTGACTGGTAGAGTTTTGTTCTCCATATTCTGCTACACGCTGTATAGTGAGCGTTTTGATAGTTTTTTTTTATCATTATATTTGCATCAAGTCCTGAACTAGGAGAAAGCCAGCAGAAGGAAATAGCAGAGGAGTCAGTAAAAGAGGGCACTTTTCCAAGAGAGGGGCGGAAGGAGGCGAGCTCACAGCAGAACCGAGATGTGAACCGGGAAGAACAGCAGTTGCCCTTGAAGCCTGAGGAAGCCATGAGGCTTAGAGAAGAGCTGAGCCGTATAAATCAGAGCCTCCTTCAGTCTCAGAGCTCTGGGGATAGTTCAGATGACGCTAGTGCCCAGGTAGGTGCTGTAAACACGTGCCCTGACTGGGTCCGTTTCCATAGATCGGCTGTGGATATAAGCATAATTTTTATGTCATCATTAGTGTGTATTTGTTGAGCAATACCATAACCATGGCCCGTATGGTAATAAAATAGCAACCAAAATCTGAACTAAGCCGTCAATTGATGCGCTTTGTAACACAGGGTTCTTAGTTTCCATCCAGCTCAGCAGGAAAAACTGCTGATTGGCTGCCCTGGGTAGGTGGGTTGGAGAATGGCAGGATTTGTGCCACATTTTCTATTCCTGGTATCTAGCTTAGATGCACAAGATGCTTTGTTTTGTTGGAGAAAAGACCACCGACTTGGAATTATTTTAAATATGGCTTTTGCTACTTACTAGAGATCTGCCTGCAGGAGAAATAAAGGGAGTGACTGCCAGCCACGCCTCAGTTCTTATACCTCAATCTTACAGGATCCCTCTTGTACAGATTAAGATTTCCCTACACACACCTTTCTAGGAATTATTTCGAGATCCACAGAGGGAGGCCTTTGTACTCATGAGTAAACCAACTTCGAAAGACTGATATATTTGAAAAGTGATTCAAGTATACATTTAGAAAAAAAGGGAGAGTAACGGTAAAGGAAGTCAAAAATATATTTGAAAAGAGGTTCAGATACAGTGTTTGAAAACTAGGCAAGTCACAGTAAACAAGGAAACTATACACCTGAGAGAAGATTCAGATACATTTGAAAGGAAAGGTCGTCAGTCACTGGGTTTGTTCAGAAGACTCAAAGGAAGTGTGACATCAGATATTCAAAAAGAGGTTAATTTGGGGGCCGGCCTGGTGGCATAGTGGTTAAGTTCACGAGCTCCACTTCAGCAGCCCAGTGTTCACAGGTTCGGATCCCAGGCACGGATCTAGCACCACTCATCAGGCCATGCTGTGGCAGGCATCCCACATATAAAATGGAGGAAGACAGCACAGATGTTAGCTCAGGGCCAATCTTCCTCAGCAAAAAGAGGAGGATTGGCAGCAGATGTTAGCTCAGGGCTAATCTTACTCAAAAAAAAAAAAAACAAACAAAAGTTTAATTCTACACATCCTAGACAGGCCCTTTTTTGGGCAGTGGGCCAGTGTAGGAGGCTTGGGCAGAGGCTAACACTGAGGTCATGAGGATTGTAAAATCTTTGCTTATGAGCTTAAAATGATCCATGTACTTTTAGAATAATGATATTTGGAGTATGAGAAGTAACTCTCTGGTAAATTTATTAATTTTCTTTAATTTACCCTTTCCCATTGTTTGAAGAATCATTTCTCAATACCCAGGCAGGAGGTGAAAACTATTAAATATGTAAAAATTCTGTGGGAAACCTGGGAGAATAGCCACTTTGTGAAAGGACGAATAGTCCTAAATACCACATAGCCTCTTAGGCTATTATTCTTGCATATTTCAGTAATTTTTTTCATAATAATGGCTTTGAATTATTGAAAGGAGTGTAAGTTGCTCTTATTCACTTATTCAACCAATATTAATTGTGTATCTATGATGTGTCAGGCCCTGTGTTAAGGCACATACAGCAGTAAACAGGTGTGGGCCTCATGGGAAAAAATAACGTACTCGTATTTTGAACTTCACATTTCCCAAAGCACCATCATACACACTATTTCATTTTCTTCTTTAAGCAGGCAAGGAAGAAAATACATTTTAGACAGGTTTTTTTCTGTAATGTACTGTGCAGTGATAATTTCAGAACTTCTTTCTGTGTATAGGGTTCTTTGACCTCCTGATGGCTATAGATTGTTCTGCTTTTTAGTTCTTGTGTATGTGTGTAGTTTTTTGGTCTTCAGCCCTGTTGCCAGGTTGGTGTCTGGTTCCTAGCTGCTATCCATGTGTGCTGTGTCTTCTAGTATCAACGTGCAAACCTAAGCAACTACAGGCTGAGACGAGATATCAAACTTTAAAGAATGCTTATAAATGGCAAATACATAGAAAAAAGAACCGTGAGAGCCTCTTTCATGAGTGTGTGAGCTCTATTGTTCATATGTATTTGTGACATCATCTGGGCTGCTGATGGCCTTTGGGGGCTTAATGTCTGTATTCCAGATGAGGTTGTGATAGGTGATTTCGAGATATTACTTTCCCAGTATTCTTGAAACAAGCTGGAACGACCATTAATTATCTCAATTTTATCTGTTTAAAACCTAACCTCATGTTTTTTCATAACATTATTGAATATTTACTATGCTCTAGGCACTATACTAAATACCCTGTTTATATGAAGCAATACAATGAGGCAGGAATATTATTTTTGCCATTTTATCGATGAGGAAACTGAGGCTTTACAGAGGTTAATTAGCCCAAAATGACACATTGTGGCAGAACCTGGGTCTGTCTACTCTAGAGCTTGACCTTTTAACTGCTATGTCATTTGCTTCCAATTGCTGAGAAACTCAAAGAAAGAACACAGTTCTCATGTCAGGCTAATTTCCTAAGGAAGGCTGGCAAGCTGACTCCCCAACGCTCTCTCTGTTGTGGATTATCTTGGTGAATTCATCCAGGGTTTGGCCCTTAAGCTTGCAGGCTTAAAAACTTGATGTATTAGCCCCCTAGATTAGATCTGTGTCTTGTGGATAAACTCACATTAAACCAAACTTTCAAGACTACTGGGTAAAATCAAAATGTCAATTAGTTATTCTTCTGTAATAATTAATTATAAATATCCCTTGTTAAAGGTTACTGTTTAAATGAACAGTTGCATTACCTGTAGAGAGCTAAGAAAGACAAATCAAAATCTGAAGGATGTTTGATGAATAGGGAGCCAGAACAAGTGGACTTAGTTTGATAATTGACATATTCACAGATTATGGTGGCCTGTTGCATCTGCATTCACTGGATAAGAATATTTAAAGCTAGTAGTGTTTAACTCTGTTTCCACAATAGGAATGATCTTGTCATTGGGACCAGCATATGAACTTGGTTTGTATTAAATTTTTATTTTATTAAGATAATATTTTAAAATATTAAAAGCTAAATTTTAGGCCTATAAAATTAAGGTAATTCATGCTGGTTCCAACTTTAATTCTTAAGGTATTATAAATTCTTTGAGATGGAAGAGATATTAGGCATCATCTGGTCTTATGCTTTTACTTTGCAGATGGGTAAACTGACACCCCGAGAGGATAATTGCCTTAATAAATCTGTTGACTGATCAAGAAAGGACCCCTATGTGCTTTACTTGTCCCTCTTAGCAGCCTGAATGGGTCTTTATGCCTCTGCAGTAACTTCCTACCAGGAAGTAATTTACATGTTGGCAACTTGATTGGCTGCCTGGTAGCTTCTTTAATAGTTGCCTTTCTTGAAAATAACTTGCATTTCTACTCTGGCAAGCTGACTTTACCGGAAAATGTAGGCAGGAGGAACTACTGTTCTGGCTTTTCTCATCTTCAGAACAGGCGAAAAACTTCTGTACTTTTGTCCCGTTGATTAAATGGGGTGATTCTCTTGCATACTCTGTTTTGGTATGGTAAATGGCTATCTAGGCTGGTGATTACGTATTAATTGTCGAAAGCTGCTGTATAATGATTAAATCAGAAGATAGAGTGGTGATAGGGCTTTCCAGGCTTCAGGAGAATGCTTGTTTTCAGGCGGAAGAAGGCAGTTAAAGGAAAGCAAAGTCAGGTGCATGATCTGCAATGGGTAAGGTGACTGAGTGCTCGCTCTGTGCTGGGCATCGTGCTCAGTGCTTGAATGCGTTATCCCACTTCCCCTTTACTCCATCCGGCGCTTATCATTATTATCCCCATTTTAAGATGAGGAAAATGAAACGGAGAAAGACTAAGTAACTTTTCCAAAATCGTCCAATTAGTAAGTGATAGAGTCAGGATTGAAACCCAGATGTATCTAATTCCACAGTTAGGGTTCCTAATAATTACATTATAATCCCATTAAAGGCTTTTCTCTAGGGGCCTCAGACACTTGCAACTCCAAAACAAGCAAACTGGAGTTTGACTGCTTTCTGACTAAACCAAGATAGGGATTGAAGGGCTAACAGGATTTGGGGAATTCTGTGCTGCAATTCCATTGTGAGCGAGACAGAGCTAGAATAAAGACATGGGCTTTTCAGAAAGTCACGGACAGGAAGGACACCGGACCAGGACTCGGGGAACGCTAAGTATATCTCATCTGTTGAATTGGATAAGGTTAAATTCTTTATCTACTCAGCACACCTGTGTGTGCCCACCTTTTAGACATCCCAAATGACTACTCCTTTGGTCAAGGTAGTTTTATTGCACTGGAGAGACGTGATAGGAGAGTATGTTGTTAGCAGTAACTGAAGAGGAATCATCAGGTAGTGAAAAGAAAGTGATGAGAAAGGCTAGGAATTTAATATATCTTGCTAAATCTTCTCTCTCCTTTTGCCAAGAGACACAACACATATATGCACACACGCACGCATGCACACACACCACTCAAACACATTCACACTCTACTTCTTCACGTATTGACTCTTTGAGCTCCCCATTTAAAGCACGTCGCCATGTAAATTGTCCATGCTTGTGTTCCCCTTCATTAATAGGAAAAATAAGAAAGTTGCTTGTCTATGCTTGACTGCTTTTGTTCACCTAATTTCTTTGATAGCTTCACTCTAATATAACAGGAGTTAAACTATATGAACATGCACCAACTAGCCATAAATGTAAAAGAGTAATTTGTTGTAGGTAAGCCAATTCCCAAAACATTTCCCTGTGAATAATCACATTCTGACAATTCTGGTTCTGAGGGCTGGAACCCTTGTTTTACCAATATTCTTTCAAATTGTCCATGTTTCTCTTTTAAAATGTTTGTTTTAGGATCCATCACCTGGAGAAAAACTGAAATACCAGCAGCAAGAGGAACTACAACAACTTCGCCAGAATTTGCACCGGCTCCAGATTCTTTGCAACTCAGCTGAGAAGGAGCTTCGATATGAGCGAGGAAAGAACTTGGACTTAAAGCAACATAATAGCTTACTTCAGGAAGAAAGCATTAAGGTAATTCTCGTGGGCGCGTGCTTTATTGAAGGATCTCAGTTACTCAACTGACCCTGGAAATAAACGCATCAAAATTCCTCAACTTTATAACTGATGTTAGGGGCCACAGATGGGTGGACAATGTGAGCTATCTGATAATTCACTCCTCTAACTTTTCCCCACCAAGCAGGCACGCAGCGCAGTCGCTCCTCTGCTGTTGAAGAGGTGTGTGTGCTGTCCACCTACAAGGATGGAAAGTTTTTAAGTTACACGATCTTTTGAAATCATTACCTAAAACTTTTAGCCCTTACTAAACTTCAGTGACCTGAGCCCAAACCCTGCTTGTCCTGCCCTAATTCTATGTCTAGACTTATTTATCCCTCATAGATGTATCCATTATTGTTTGAATCAAATGTCCGCTGCACCAAGGTACCATTCCTGGGAGGGGGAAATTGTTCTTCCTCTCAGAATGCGTGAGAAAGTTCTGGGAACATCCCCCAGGCATGCTTGTTTTAAAATAATCTATGTAGGACTGCCATCCACAGGTTCATCTAAATTTTTTGAACCACGTAAATGTTTAAACTGAACCACCATGTAAAATACTACTTCCTTTTACTTGTGGTTCAATTCTGTAAATGTATATTAGGGACCTGGATAGCCCCTATCTAAGGTTCTGGAATTCAACATCCAACAAATATTTATTGAGCGTCAGTCATATGCTGGGCAGGCATCCTTGTTGCTACTGAGGGTTTAATGGTAGGCAAAACAGACATAATCTTTATCCCCTGGTGCAAGGGTCAGCAAACTTTGGCCCATGGGTCAAATCCTGCCTGCCTTCTGTTTTTATAAAGTTTGGTTGGCACACAGCCATATCTGTTTTTTACATATTTTTGATGGCTGCTTTTGAACTACAAAAGCAGATTGGAATAGTTCTAACAGAGACCTTATGGCACACAAAGGCTAAAATGTTTACTATCTGGCCCTTTATAGGAAAAATTTGTCTACGCCCGGTGTAGCAAGATCAATGGACTTTATTTGAAAAGTGACATAAAAATGGATTAAGAAAGGTCCCTACTTTTCATGAGCTCAGAGTCTAATAGAGAGAGAGAGGGAGAAAAAAAAACAATAGTCATTTATCCCAAACTTCAAGGGAAGCCCTTTTAAGAGTTCTGGTATTTCAGAGTTATTTGAATAAACCTCTTCCCTATCTTCACCTCTCTTGTTTTTTTGAATATTTATCCTATTCCCTCAAGCCTTTGTAGGTTTAAATTAAATTCCAAATCTTTATCACATTTCCTTGTAAGATAGCCTTTTACCTTTCCCTTCAAACATATTTCTTAGACCATTTTAACTGTCAACTCTGAATATTCAAGCAATACTACATCTTTCTCAAGGGGCAACGATCAGAACACTGGTCATGATGTCTTCTTTTTGATTGGCACCCTATAAGCATTTCTTGAATTAGTGAACGAGTCCTTCAGGGATGGGTAAATGATAACTTGGTAAAAAAAAGAGACGATATTTTTGGTTCTGTTTTAAAGCTCCTTCATGGTGGGGTAAAACATTGGCCATTTTAGTAACAAGACATCAGTCTTTTGGCTGGTCGCCTAGGCCAGGCACCTAAGCAGAGTCATATACAGCAGCCAATCACCTTTTATTGGCAGTTTCTCCACTTTATTATAAATCTCCCCATGACCCTAAAGGGTCAGCATGTTAGAGATGAGAAAACTGGTCAAGGTTGCAAAGCTAGCAAATTGTGGAGTCAGAACTTAAACCCAGCCTTATTTCTCTCTTTCCTGTGTAGAGCTGTATTTCCATATTATACCCCTCCTCAGTTTGGTGTCATTTTGGAACTTTAGGTTTGAAAACTTAGAGCTCACTTTTTAAAATCCACTCAGAGATGATCAAACTCTGGGTCCCTGGCTAATGTTAGATGTACTTATAAGACTGATTAGGAAACCAGAATATTTATTGCTTTTAAACCATTTTATTTTGAAATATAACACTCAGGAAGTACATAAAACATATACATATAGTTTAACGAATTGTTGTAAAGTAATTACTTGTGTAACCACCACCCAGGAGAAGAAAAAGCACATTGCCCACATACCAGTGGTCCCTGAGAGCCTCTTTCCCATCATAGTCCCATCGCCTTCTCATCCAAGCAGGGACCACTAATTCTGGTAATTACTCTCTTGCTTTACTTTATAGTTTTACCACCTGTGTATGAGTCCCACGCAATATAGTTGAGTTTTGCCTCTTTTTGAATATTTTACAAATGTAATCAATCAGTATATGCCCCTTGTGTCTGTCTTCTTATAATCTACTTTGTTTGGAAGATTCTATCGTGCTGTGGTGTATAGCCATTGTCCATTCGTTTTCTTTGCAGTATAGTATTCCACCATAAGAAAATGCCATAATTTATTTATTATTTCTATGGTTTATGGACATCTTGCATGTTTTCAGCTTGGGGCTATTAAGAAGATTGCTACAGGCTTGCAGAGCTTCAAGCAGAGAGCCATTCTGCCACCACCAACACTGAGACACTTTACTGGGTCCTCTTCCTGATACTTGAGTGTTCCACCCTAAAGCTGAAGAAGCTGCCCTAGATGCAATATCATTGGCCATAACAGTGTTTGCTCCAGTGTTGCGGTCTCATTTCATCACTGCCACCATTACCAAAATGCTGAGTGTTGGCTCTAGGACGCATGAACACAGGTCCCTGAGGCCTGTAGCTTTCTCAGCCTATGATCAATATATTATGAAAGAACTTGTACCCTTTCTATTTACAGTAACAGGTTTAGGATTCATACTCTTGAATGAATCCAATGCACTAAATATTCCAACACTCGAGTTCTTCTTTTCTTTGATGTCTTTGTTTCTTCTTCTGTTCTTTGGATCTGAGTCTCACTGAGTTTTTCATGGTTCCATTTTCTTGAAAAATGAAACTTCCAGGCTATCTAATAGGTTAGAGTGCCTTTTGAGAAGAAATTAACAGTAAATAGATTTCTTCCTGTTAATAAGGTTTCAAAAGCTCTACCAATCTTCCAAAGTAAAATGAGAAAATGAAAAAAAAAAGAGAGAGAGAGGTTGAAGTGGTTTAGAATGACAGGGGGGATAAAGGGGATTTTCACTGGAAAAATAGGAAGCTTATTAAAGCTTAATCTGGAATTTCTTTTGGGGAATACCAAAGAGACAGCTTATTACAGTATTTTTCCTGTTGACCTATATTGACCCACCAATGATATTGAGGCATTTCACTCTTAGCGTTTAATTTCTTCATGCATTCATTTCTATTATGTTTAGTAAAGTATTTTGATCGTTTTTACATGTCTGTTAATGTTTTGGGGGATGGCATTTCTGGTCCTCAGAAACTAATGCAAAAGGAGGTTTCATAAACTCAGCACTGTGGACACTTGGGCAGCTTTTACCCAAAGAGTTTTGCCTTTAAACAGAGAGCAGAAGAGAACGTTACTTCACATATGTTCATTTAGTGAATGTAAGACTTTTTCCTGAATAGTGAGATGTATGAAAGGATCTGAGTAATGCCTCTACTTTTTAAAAAATGCTGCTATGAACATTCATGTCCATGTGCCCTCATGTTCATAAGTATGCCTTTCCCTAGATGAGAAAAGTTATTGTGTCATAGGGTATATATGACTTCAACCCTTTCTGAAGTTTCATCCTCCCACCAGCGTGCATGGAGGTTCCTATTGCTCTACATCCTCGCCAACTCTTGATACCGTCAGACTTGAAAACTTTTGCTAATCTGGAATATGCGTATAGTGCTAGCTCCTTGCAGCTGTAATTTGCATTTCCCTGTTCACAAATGAAGTTGAGCAGCTTTTTACATATTTATTTGGCATTTGAGTTCCTCTTTTGTGACGTGCCTGTTCGAAGTTTCGTTTACTTTTCTTTCAGGCTTCTGTCCTTTTAATTTTTCCATTAATTTATAGGAGTTCTTTATATACGAACCCTTGATCAGGTATATGTTACAAACCTCTTCTACTCTGGCTTCTATTTTTACTCTCTAAATGTGATATCTTTTGATGGATCGAAGTTTGTCATTTTAATCTAATCAATGTTTACCTTTATAATTGGTGATTTGGGGATCTGGTTTAAGAAATCTTTGTCTACCTTAAAGTTATAAAGATATTCTTCTACGTTACTATAGTGTTGCTTGGGTCATAAAAATATTGGTATATGTGTGGAGTGTTTCTGAGCTCTCTATTCTGTTCCATTATTCTATTTGTCTATTCTTGTGCAAGTAACATGCTATCTTAATTACTTTAGCTTTATGTAAATCTTAATGTTAGATAGAGCAAATCCTTCACCTCGTTCTTCTTGTTCTAGGATGTCCTGGCTATCTTGGCTACTTGATATTCTATATAAATTTTATCATCAGTTATCAAGTAACATGCACATACCCATATGCACTCACAGACAACACATATGTACTCACAACCTTTTGGAATTTTAGCTGGAATTACACTGAATCTATAGACAAATTTGGGCAGAATTTAAATCTTTACAATATTGAATTCTCTAATTTATGAAATATGTGTGTGTATTACATTTAGGTCTGCTTTTAATTTCTCTTAATATCATAATTTTCTTTGTGGAGGTCTTATACATCTTTTGTAAGACATATTCCTAGGTGCTGATATTTCCCATACTATTATAAATGGTAACTTAAAAACTTTTTCATTTTCTCACTATTGCTTATAGTTGTATATATATTATATATAATATATAGTTATGCAATTAATATATAAAATTGCATGTTTACAATTATGTGCATAAATGTAAACTTGCCACATAAAAATGCAATTAATTTTTTAATAAAAACTTTGCCATACTTTTAAATTAATTCTTATATTTATATTTATATTATTTTGGATTTTCTATGTAAGCAATCATATCTGAGAATAAATATAATTTTCTTTCTTCTCTTCTAAATGTTATACCTTTTGGGGTCAATTGTATGATGATGGATGGAAACTAGGCTTTTGATAGTGAGAATACTGTGGTGTATACAGAAGTCGAATTATAATGCTATATACCTGAGGCTTATATAATGTTATAAACCAGCGTTACCTTGATTAAAAAAAAAAAAAGAAGAAGAAGAAAGATGCATTCAGCACAGTGTTATTTCAGTGAATGGAAGCGATGCCTGCTATAATGCACATAGTGAAGTGTTTGAGAATACATTTAATAAAAATTTTTTTAACAAGCTAAAAAAAGAATAAATGTTACTTTTTTTTTAAGATTTTATTTTTTCTTTTTCTCCCCAAAGCCCCTCGGTACATAGTTGTATATATTTTAGTTGTGGGTCCTTCTAGTTGTGGTATGTGGGATGCCGCCTCAGCATGGCCTGATGAGTGGTGCCATGTCCGCGCCCAGGATCCGAACCTGTGAAACCCTGGGCCGCAGAAGCAGAACACAGGAACATAACCACTTGGCCAAAGGGCTGGCCCTAAATGCTACATCTTTCATTCTTTTTTCCTGTTCTGTGCAGTGGCTGGTATGATGCTAAAAAGAATTGGTGATAGCGGGTGTCCTTTTCTCATTCCCAATCTCAAGGGAAAAGCTCTCAACTTTCACCAGTTAGTATATTTTTTGTATTTTTTTAAATAGACATTCTTGATCACATTAAGGAAATTATTTTATAGTGTTAGTTTGTTCAGTGTTTTATAACAAGTACTTATTGAATTTCATCAAATTCTTTTTCTGCGTATTTTGAAAAGATAAGATTTTTTACATATTAATCTGTTAAGATGGTGAATTACATTGATTGATTTTCTAATGTCAATTCAACTTTGCATTCCTGGGATAAACGCAACTTCATCATTAATTATTATCCTTTTCCTACATTGCTGATTTTGGCTTGCTAATATGTCTGGGATTTTTGCATCTGAATTCCTGGGTGAAACTGGCTTGTCATTTTCCTTTCTCCTAATGTCTGTGTCAGATGTTGTTGTCACAGTTATCCTAGCTTCTTAACATAAGATGGATAAAATACCCTCTTTTTCTGTTTTCTGGAGGAGTTTGCATAAAATTACAATTATTTGTTGTTAAATAATTACCAGGACTCAACTCTGAATCCTTCTGATTCTAGAGTTTTCTTTTGGGAAGACTTCCAATTACTGATTGTTTCTTAATAGTTGTGAGAAGTCACATTTTTTATTTCTTCTTTTATCAACTTTGGCATATTTTATTTTCCTAGAATTTTTTCCTTTTCATTTACATTTTTAAAATTCCTATTTGAACCTATTTGTCAATTTTTTGACATAGTGATGGTCCTTTTTACTTTTGTGATACTAGTTACCTACGCTTTGCTGCTTTTCTCTTGTTTAGTCTCACTAGAAGTTTATCCATTTTATTAGACTTTTCAAAGAACCAACTTTTAGCTTTGTTGATCCCCTCTATTATATTCTTTTCAGATAAATAACAAATACAGGTATTTCACAGTTTAGAGGCCGTATAGGGTGGAGTACTGGATTAGAATCAGAAAATCTATATTTAGACCTTGGCCCTATCATTTGCCAACTATATTTGAGACTCAGTTTTTTCATCTCTAAAATAAGGTAAAATGTCAATCTCAGCTACTTCATAGATATGAAAGCCTAACCAATGTAAAATAATTATATTAATATCTGCCTCAGTTCCATACTTCAGATACAATAGATGTTCTCTAAGCGGATCTTAAAGAACAACAGTTAACCTGTATTGGGTGTTGCCTGTGTGTCTGGCCTTACTCTTGATGCTTTCATTGCTTTCTTTTATTTAATGTAGCCTCACAAGTGTCCTATGAGATAAGAGGTTATTATCCCCATATCACAGATGAAGAAACTGATGCTCAGAGAGGTTGAACATTATTAACTTTTAGATTCACTTGATAAAATCTGGTTGGTTAATACAGAGTCACAGGTGGAGGAAATTATCGTTATCATCTCTATGAATTCAGTTGAAAAGCTTTGAGCACAGGGAATTCTGTTTTACATGAGGAAAAGTAAATTCTGTCTCAGCATTCTTGTCTGTGAGCGCTGCCTAGGATGTACATTCATCAGGTTCTGATGTTCCTTAGGCTATTATTCATTTATTTGCTCAGTAAATATTGATTAATCATCTACTCTTAGGCACTTTGATGGGCCTTGGATACTGAGAAGTGAATAAAACCCATGGTCCCTGCTTTCTTGAAACTTAAGACTGTGGAAGAAGGATGACAAGTCGATAAATACATGTTTAATTATAAATTGTGATAAGTTCCGTGAAAGAAATAAATGTGGCACAGTAAGTAAGGAGACCTCTTCAGATTAAATCATCATGAAAATTTTCTCCTACAAAGTGACATTTAAGCTAAAACCTGAAGAAATGGCAGGACACTGTTGAGGCTGTTGCTATGGCCCAGGCTAGAGATGATAATTATCTAGACTAGGGTAATGACACAAACGACACAAATGGATTGACGCAAGACATGTTGTGGAGGTAGAGTGACAACATGTGCTCAATTGGCTGATGATGGAAAAAAGGAAGGCTCAAGGATGACTCTCAGGTTACTGGCCTGAACAAAAGGTTGCTGGTGGCATCATTTACTGAAATCAGGAAGACTGAGAGAAAAACGATTTTGGAGATATGGGCAGAATCAAGGCGTTTCATTTTGGCAGTTACTGGCCTAAAGGTGGTATTTTAAGTCATGAGAATGAATCTAGAGAGAGAATGATCCACTCTCAAGGCCTAGGAGAGTCCAATAATATTTAGATGTTGGGTAGAATTAGAACAGTCTACAGAAGAGACCGAGAAGGAACAGCAGAGAGGGAAGTGAAAACCGGGAGAGTTTGATATCACAGACTCCAAGAGAGGAGAACTTTCTGAGATAGAAGGAGTAAACACTACTGAGAGGTAATTGTCCATTGGATTTATTTTGGCAATGGGGAGGTCAACAGTGCCCTTGGCAGAAACAGTTTCATGTAGTAGAGGGAATGAAAGCCAGCTTAGAATAGATTGAAAAAAGAGTAGAAGATGTTTAGACTAGAAATGTATAGACACTCTTAGGAAAATTCCTTTGTCCAGCTGCCATCTGGCTAGATAGACTTTGGCAAAACTTGCTAACACATGGCAGCTCCAGAGGGGTGATCAACCACATGACATTGGTATTTGTCAGCTCTTGGAGGCTGCACTCATTTGAAAGCTGCTTATTCTGGCTCACATTCACGTTCGTTTCATGCTTATTTTCATCACTCTTATTTATTCCCCACCTCTAGATCAAAATTGAACTAAAGCAGGCCCAGCAGAAGTTGTTAGACAGTGCAAAGATGTGCTCATCACTCACGGCAGAGTGGAAGCACTGTCAGCAGAAAATCAGAGAACTGGAGCTGGAAGTACTTAACCAGGCTCAGAGCATTAAATCACAGAACAACCTACAGGAAAAGCTGGCTCAGGAGAAATCCAAAGTTGCTGATGCAGAGGAAAAGGTAATTATCCTCACGCTTAATAAAGAGCATGCAGTGGATACCGCCACTGAAATCCTGTTTCCCCAAGGATTTTAAGAAATAGATATGGTGCAAACTTGATAGAATTCTAGGATTTTTCTTTATTCTCCCATGCTTTCCTCTCTTTTGACTTCACTTGCTGCTACAGTTCCGGTAAATCTTGTGTGTTTATTTTAAACTGCATGAACTTAGAAAGGGAAGTTTCATTAAAGTTATAATATGAACTTAACTGACTGAGACGATATGACTTTTGTTCTATACTTTCAAATTTTAAGGGACTTAGTCTCCTCTCATTTGGATTCCCTGTTTATATGATTTTTATTTTGTAATTTTTTGTTTTTGTTTTTGTTGTTTTTGAGGAATATTAGCCCTGAGCTAACGTCTGCTGTCAATCCTCCTTTTTGCTGAGGAAGACTGGCCCTGAGCTAACATCCGTGCCCATCTTCCTCTACTTTATATGTGGGACGCCTACCACATATACATGGCTTGCCAAGCGGTGCCATGTCCGCACCCAGGATCCGAACTGGCGAACCCCGGGCCACCAAAGCAGAACGTGCGCACTTAACCGCCGCGCTACTGGGCCAGCCGTATTTTCTAATTTTTGGAGGGGTTTGTGAGTGAAATGAATCATTTTGAAATATTGCCCCTGCATGGTGGATTCCCCAGCACCAGGTGGCAGTAGTATGTAACGGTTGCACGTTTTGATCGGTGGGTTTGTCTGAGTCAAATCTTAACATTAAAACAAGCATCAAAAAGTAGATGACAGCAATCTGAATTAAACTTGAAAGCTAATGTTGAACTCCAGAAGCAGCACAAGAGAGTTCATAGTGTAATTTCATTTATATGAGGTTCAAGAATAGACAAAATTAGGCTATGGTGATAGGATAGTAGTTGTCTTTACGAGGGGTGTTAACTGCGAGGACATGAGGGAATCTTCTGTGGCGCTGGAAGTATTCTGTATCTTGGTCTGGGAGATGGTTATATAAGCAAAACTTCATTGAGTTGAGTATGAGATAGATATGTCTACTTTACTGTATGTATGTTATTACTCCATAAAAAAGTAGTTTCAAGATTGGTAAAATTTTTAAATTTAGACAATGCTAAATATTAGTACTGGAATTTGTGCAACAGGAACTTTTAAATTCTGATTGCATTAGAAGAGTAAATTAGTATAAACGCTTTGGAAAGCAATTTGACATTAGCGTGTAGGTAGGTTAAAAATATATACACCATGCAACCCAACACTTCTACTACGAGGCATAAACACTGGAGAAACTATTGTACTGCATGTATGTATCAGGAGACAGGAATACAATCATTTTCATACTAACATTGTTCCAAATAGCAGAAAATTGTAAACAACCCAAACGTCCACTGACACGAGATGGAATAAATAAATTGTGTATTTACACAATAGCACACAACAGTGAAAATGAAAGACAACCTACACGTACATGCTGTAGTTCAAAATGATAGTGAATGAAAAGCAAGTCACCAAAACCACAGTATGAGTCCAGTGGTACTGTAGCCCAAATAGTACAAAATAAAAACTATGTCATATAGAGATAGGTATTATTAAAGGAAAAAGCAAGAAAATGATTAACACAAAATTCAAGATGTTGATTTTCTGAGGTGAGGAGAGGAGGATAATCAAAGAGAGTCTCTTTGGTTTGAAGCCCACAGAGTGGACTTCAAAAATATTGGAAATGTTCGCTGTCTTAAGTTGGGTGGCAGCTTCAAAAGTTTGGCCTAGGTCCTTGACAGAGAGGCCAATGAGTTGAGACTTTCATCTGTGGCGTTAAGAATGAATATCTTTAAGCAAGCATTTTCCCTAGGCGGAACTAAATGGGGCAGCTCAAAAGAACTTGACCTGTCCTCACACGACCTGGCTGCCCACTGCCGTTGCCCTTGGATCATTCTACATCTTCACCTCTGCTATGATGTGTGGGCTCTGCAGGGACCTAGGGCTGATGCAGGAAGCCCTTTCCTTGGAAAGGACTGCCATCCCCTGGCATTCATTGAATGTCTGTGGGGAATATGATGACAAACCGTTGTAAAGGAGTCATTGTTGTGTCAGGAATACAATAGAGAGAGAACAGCTATTCTGCTGAAAACTATCATTCAGCAAATATTTACTGAGCACGTACTATAAACCAGTCACAATTTTAGGTGGCACAATGGTTTATAAAACATAAGTAAACAAACTAAAAGAAGATTTATCTAACAAAACATTTTTCTAGTGACACTTTTAATCTAACATAAATTCGAAAATAAAATTATATACCTCTCTTCCAATTCATAACTCTTATTTTTGGTTCTACAAGGGCATTAAAGAATGTATTACTGGTGCTAGGCAATATGCTAATAGGTTACTTGATTTATAAGAGACTTCTACTTTGTTTTGAGATATTACTCATGAATCTAGCCACGCTGGAGAAACTAGACACTCTCACACGTTGCTGTTGGAAGTGTAAATTGGTCTAATACCTAGGGAGACACTTTGGCACTATCTATTAAACAAACAAATATAATAACTTTTCCTTAGCAAATCCACATCTCATAAGTTATTCTAGAGACATTGTTTGTAATAGTATGAATTATTATAGCAAAAGATTGGAATCAACCTAAATGCCCATCAGTATGGGCCATAAATATCCTTACAGTGGAAAGGTATGCAGCTGTAATAGAGAAGACAATGGTATATATGTATAATATGGAAAAATCACTGAGTGTATTGTTATAATAAAAGCAAGGTACATAGGTATATATAATATGGCATTATTTGAGTAAAAAAATGTGTGTATGGGGGAGAACTATATAATAATATTTGTTCATATATGCATAAATCAGTTTCTGGGAGGGTACATAAGACACTAACACCAGTGGTTAGCTATTTGGTGGAGGAAGAGAGAGGAGGGATGGGAAGGAGACTATTTACTAGACAGTTTAGTTTACACACTCACATTAAACTTTGTGAATGCATTATATATGGCAAAACTTAGGAATTTGTTTTAAAACAAGGGGCATATATGTATGGTGACAGATGGAAACTAGACTTTTGGTGGTAAACACGATGCTGTCCATACAGAAGCTGAAATATAATGAGGTACACCTGAAATTTACAGTATGCTCTAAACCAATGTGACCTCAATAAAATAAAAAATAAAAATAGGTAAATCTAGCCATACTCTTTACTTTAGATGAGATTTGTATGTTAGCACTACTGTATTTGCTATTTATGTGGGATTTCCCTATTTGGAAAATAGGTCACACTCTTCTTAAAGTTTTATTTGTAAACTTTTTTCATTCAAGATCTTGGATCTGCAGCAGAAATTAAAGCATGCTCAAAAAGTCTGTGTCACAGACACTTGTGTTTTGGGGAAGAAGCAACTAGAAGAAAGGATAAAAGAAGCAATGGAAAATGAAGCTAAAATAAAGCAACAATACGAGGAAGAGCAGCAGAAGAGGTAAGAGGAGCAAAGATGTCAGTTTCCCACGGGCTAACCGTGATTGAGTTTGCCAGCCGCATCAACGTACTGGTGTATTTCCTGTGTCCCCGCTGGAGTAAACTCAGTCACACGCCTTCTTATTTACAGCACTTACCACACTGTGTTCGAATTGTTTATTTTCCTGTTCGTCTTTCACACTAAAGTGTGGGGCCCTTAAGGACAGGAATTATTTCCTGTTGTTCTGAGACACACTTGGTACACCAGTGAATTTTCTTTAGTGACTGGATTGCCTATGAAATATGATGCTCTGGGATTTGCTTTTCTAACATGATTGGCACAAAATGCAGACTAGAATGAAGTTGGTGTTTTGTATTTATCAGCTGATTTCCTTCAAAAAATTTCCAGGTACTTTATGGTATCTTAATCATGAACAGGCTGCTCCCAGATAGGAACTGTCTAATTTTTTTCCTAAAATTATTATGGTTATTATTAGGATTCTTACTTAAATTATCTTCTTGGATGCCCTAGACTTCAGTAACTGATGCTTCTTATTTCTGTGGCACTCAGAGTGATTCACGTATATTTTAAGAAAAATATGGTTTGGGGTTGGCCCCGTGGCTGAGTGGTTAAGTTTGCGTGCTCTGCTGCAGGCGGCCCAGGGTTTCGTTGGTTCGGATCCTGGGCGCGGACATGGCACCACTCACTGAGCCATGCTGAGGCGGCGTCCCACATACCACAACTAGAAGGACCCATGACTAAGAATACACAGCTATGTACCTGGGGGCTTTGGGGAGAAAAAGGAAAAAAATAAAATCTTTAAAAAAAGAAAAAAAAGAAAAATATGGTTTTAGCCACTGAAAAGAAATTCAGACATTCACCTATACTGTGAATCTCAGAAACAATTTCAGCTCTAGTGTAGGGCCTGGCACTCAATGAATATTTAGTGAATGAATGAATGTTTGAGTAAATGAATGAATGAGTGTATGAACGCATGATAAACTCACCCAGTGAGGTACGGTAGAAAAATCCTCATCTCACTGTCGCTTCTAGCAGGATAGCAGCCCATCCTCCTGTTATAATACGACAGATCCTGAATAAACTACAGTAATTATACCTTTTAAAGTATTACTCACAAAGCAAGAGAAAGCCCTACAGGCAAACATAATGAGATAAAGCAAAAATAATGAATGGTAAAGAAACTGGTAAGTCAAGCGGAAATAACAATATCAGCCCGCGGCTCAGGAGAAGCAGCTGAGGAAGTTTGCCACAAGGTAGGAGAGTTGAACTAGAGACTCCAGTATGAAGCTGGGAATCCTGAGGAGCTAAAGTGTCCCTCCACAGGCAGCCCCTGGCTTCCTAAATAAGAAAATCCAAATGATCTCCGCAGGAAAGCAATCCCAATTTAGATATTAAGGATTCCCATATATTAAGTTTAATCAAATACAAGCTTACAATCAAAACAATCACCAAATAACACCAGGAAACTGGCTACCATGAATGAAAGTCAGCAGAAACAACAAACACCAGATTTCTAATCACCAAGAACCTCAGCGATTGGAATTACAAAGAATAGATTGTAAAATGACTGTGTGAAGTTTTTAAAGAAAAACATGTCATCAAAGAATTGAACAAGGAAAAGGGCTGTTTAATTTTCCTGAAACTTGCTTTCTTATCTCCAAGGTGGGAATAGCAATACCAGTTCTATACGTCTTTTGTGAAGATTGGCTGAGAAAAAATATGTGGAAGTAATATTTAAACTAAGTATAGGAAAATGAAATATGTAGGGAAATTCTTTTCCACAAAAAGGGGACTATCTAGTGTACGTGGTTTTGTAACCTGAGGAAAGCAACCCCAATTTAGATGTATTTAGATTGTAACCTACCTTTTCACTTAAAATATTATGATCTGTTTACCTGCCATTAAATCTTCTTCTAGAACATTCTTTTAATAATATACCATAATTTATTTAATCAATTTCTTATTGTTGGATATTTACATTTTTCCCAGTTTCTTGTTATAGCAAACTATGATGCAATAAATATCCTTGCAGCCAAATTTTTGTGCATATCCTTTATTATTTCTTTGGGATAAATTCTGGCAAGTACAATTATAATTACAACTGCTCATTATAAAATTTCAAATACTAAAGACCTGTATAAAATAAAAAGTGTAAGTTGTTCAGAAGTCTATCCTTCAGCAACAGCCACTTTAAGTGGTTACTACATACTTCTCAGATTTTTTTCTGTGCATACACGTATATTTTTTATCATTCTTGTTTTGTTAACAAAAGTTGAATCATTTTAAATACATTGCTTTGGAACTTGTGTTTTTATAACATGGACATCCTATTAGTCACTCAGTAGCTATATCACCTTGGGCAAGTTTCGTATCCTCTCAGTGTCTGTCCCTCCCTGCCTCATGGGATCATTGTGTGGATTGAATGAGTTGCTAGCAGTTGGCTTGTATCAGTGTCTGGCACATAGTAAGTACTTGGATCAGTCAGGGCTCAATCAGAGAAGTAGAACCATATATTTCATAAGAGATTTTTTATGGGGATTTGGTCTTATGCAGTTATGGGAGCGGGTCACACATTCTGTAAGACTGTGGTCTTTGCGGCTCACGCTGGAGCTTGAAGTCTGCAGGGCAAACAGTTCAGAAAGTGAAGATGGAAATAAAGTGAGGGAGAGCAATGGAAAGCTGGAACCCAGGAGCACAAGCCGAACCCACAAGGATGGACTGGCACCCACGTCAGTGTTCACTGCCTCCAACCTTGATAAAGTAGGTGTCCTGCAGGAGAAGCTGGTCTCCCTGATCGAGGAGCTAAACAGACATCTGGCCCAGGAGATGCAGAAGGGGAAGGAGGATCTGGAGGAAGGTGGAGCTGTTCCAGGCCTGGCTGTTGCCTCACGCCAAGGTGAGCAGCAGATAAGCGCCAATATTTATGAGCTACAAAAGCGCCGCTCCGACTTTCCAAGAGTAAAAAGGAAAATGCTTCACTTCCACCCTCCAAATCTTACACAAATATATCTCTTGTAGGCCACTCTAGCCAGAACATACGTGGAAGGAATTTCTAGCCAAGTTGACACATTTTACAAAGCCACTACTAAAAAGGTGTTATTATTGTTGTTTTTGCAATATTTGATGTTATTGTTAATGTTGTCATAATCATCATCATCTTCTTCAGTGAAGTGAAAAATGTTCATTTTGACTGGAAGAAAATGTCTGGGGATAAGGGAAGTGGCAAAAAAATGAGGCTAGAAAGGTAAGCTAAGCCTGGCCATGCCGAGCCTGACCAGCCACATGAAGGAGTTTGGACATGTTCATGGGAGATATTGGTCTTTTTTCCTTTCTTGTAATATCTTTATCTGGTTTTGGTGTTAGGCTAATGCTGGCCTCATAGAATTAGTTAGGAAGTGTCCCCTCTTCTTCAAATTTTCTGGAAGAGATTGTAGAGAATTGATATGATTTCTTCCTTAAATGTTTGGTAGAATTTACCACTGAAACCTTCTGGGCCTACTGCTTTATTTCTTGGAAGGTTATTAAATATTGATTCAGTTTCTTTAACTAGATACAGGCCTATCCAGATTATCTGTTTCTTCTTGTGTAAGTTTTAGTAGAATGTGTCTTTTGAGGAATCGGTCCATTTCATCTAAGTTATCAAATTTGTGGGCAGAGTTGTTCATAAGACTTTTTTATTGTCCTTTCAATGTCCATGGGATCAGTAGTGATGATCTTTCATTTCTGATATTAGTAATTTTTATCTTCTCTGTTTCTTGGTTAGTGATGCAGGCTTGGCAAGCCAAGGAGTCGAAAGAAAGATTTCTTGGACTCTCAAGGTCTAGTGCTCCTTTATTCAGAGAATAGCATGGGGACAGGACCCATGGGCAGCGAAGAGCTGCAAACATGGGTTGAGGGTAGGGCTAAATTTACAAGGCATAGGTATGTGAGTTATCTCTTCATAAGACAAAGGAAAGATTATGTAAAAAAATCGTTAAAATGGTATCAGTGTAGGTGGGGTCTGGTTATTGGGTGGCTATAACTTTACATAAGAATCAGGTTGGGGGCCAGCCCTGTGGCCGAGTGGTTAAGTTGGCACACTCACTTCAGCGGCCCAGGGTTTCACTGGTTTGGATCCTGGGCGTGGACATGGCACCGCTCGTCAGGCCACACTGAGACGTGTCCCACATGCCACAGCTAGAAGGACCCACAACTAAAATATACAACTATGTATTGGGGGGATCTGGGGAGAAAAAGCAGAAGAAAAGAAAAAGATTGGCAACAGTTGTTAGCTCAGGTGCCAATCTTTTTTAAAAAAAAAGAGTCAGATCAGATCAGGTCAGGATGATATAGATCAGTGTGTAGGCCAGGATGCCTTGGGCTTTTCTCCCTGGGGAAGCCTTGATCCTCATCATAAAACAGCCCCCTGAACCCATTTGGCCCTGAAATCTTTTGGGAATATGGATGATGGTCCATCTTCTGTAACTACTTCCAGCTGTACAAAGTCATAGAGCTGTCCTTAAATGAGGCCATAGGGGTATAGGCAGGAAGTTCAGTGGACAGGAAGGTTGTGCCTGCAGAGTCCAAGGCTGACAAGGTATACAGATCCTCTGGAGATGAGAGAATCATTTGACAAGAAGTGGTCCAGGAGGTGAAACTTTGTTGACATGTGAAAGACAAACAACAAAATAGACAACAAATTATAATAAGAAATATAAGCAATATGATTAACCCAATGAATAAGGCTTTGAAAAGTAGTCCAGAGACCTGGTCCTGACCAGGAGTTCAACCAATCATTTAGGGATAGGGTAGGGTCAGACATGGATTTAATTTGGTGACTCATATCAGATAGGAAATTTGCATAGGGCTTGCATGTGCCAGATGACACTTTTGATTCTAATTGGGGAAGGAAAATTGAGGCAAGGTGATCATACCAGTGGAAGACAGAATGGATCCAGCATTGTTGTAGGTTGGGTAGGTTAGCAGGGGGAGATATAGTAAATGTAGTTCTACCTTGCATC